AGTGTTGTTTGGGCGTGTTCTTAGTGCTGTGCACTGTATTCACTTGTGCTGCACGTGTAAATGACGTAGTCTTGATGACGTCATTTTTGTACTTCTCTTCTCCCGGCTCTGGGGAGGCGCCCCCCTTTGCCGTGGTTTCATAATTGCCTGTGTGCTGTTAGGCAACTACTATTGGTGAGTGCACTTGTTATTTATTGATTCCTTGGCCAAGGGTTTAGTTTGTTCTTTGTACCGTTGTGTGTACTTCTGTATTGTTGTACTTTGTACCTTTTGGGTCTGTTGCACTACGCATATTTTGTCCGTTCATGGACATTGTTTAAATAAAGTGATGCACATTCGCAAGCCCTTGTTTATGGGTTATAAATTGTTTGTTTGTTGTGCGAGCTGATAAGCTTGTAACTTTTAACTATTGTTTATAATGGCTTTAAAATTAGTACTCTTCTTGAACGTTCTAAACCCTGCTTGTGGCCAACCTGGCTTGCATGCTGCGCACGCGCATCCCAGTGCCTGTGCGGCTCCTGGGTTGGCTGCGTTCGGGGCGCCGGAAGTCCTATCAGCCCTGCTCTAGGCCCATGTCGCGGCGTGCGGTTTAATTGGAGTCTCCTTTACGCGGTAGAGAAAGTCCAGGGCCTCGTTAGAGGGGGCGGGTGGGGTGGTGGGTCCCTGGTGGTGCGTGGAGGCCATAAAATGCATGCCGTAGTCGGGTCGTAGCGACCAACCGGCCATGCTTTGACGGTGCCGTTCGAGCTCTCCTGATGTGGGTCCGACGCACAGTGGTCGGGAATCGCCGAAAAGCGGCAATACGTGTTCGTTTTGAAAATTCCCGTCAGGTATCTAAACTGTTTGGTTTACATAAATAAAGCATCAGACTTTAATATTCAAACAAATAAAACGTCCTAGACTGTCGCAGTTATTTCAAAACTCGATGCAAAAGTTGCGGTGCGGCTGAGAGGTTAGTCGGCGCCGGACGGACGAACTTTTACGCTTACTTTGACCTCTTCTAAACAGTATATCGTTGCAAACGAACTGGAAATTAAAGTTGTGTGCCACCAGAAAGGGCGTACTTCCACCTTCTCTCTCATATGAGGCACGACTTATTAGAATGAGAATTACGCATTTAACATTCATTTTTATATACTCAAGAAATCTCGCACCAGCCGTCAAG